ACTGGACAGCATACGCAGTAACTTTACCAGCAAGCATTTTTGAACATGGTGCTGAACACCAGGGCTGGCAGTTGTATATAATAAAAAAATTCTTTTTCTCACACTCACTGTTTCCGTTTGATTTTTCTTTGTGTCACTGAGTAAAGAGAGCTTCAGGCTGAGATTTGTGTTGAAACTTATACGCTTATAGCATAACAAGTGAAACTAGTCATGTAACCAGTTTATTTTTGGAAACAGCCGGGCTATATGAATCGCTTAGGACAGCATCAAAATCCCTCTTTAGATCACTGGTATGTAAACATAACGCTATTATTATGACCACGTAGCTGGCGCCAAAGCGTGTTTTTGCAGCAAAACGAAAATCGCCAAAGCTGCGGGGAACACACAGCTTAGTCACCGCGAAGGCTGGATAAACGGCCTTTACAGAGCCTGCATGCTGCAATTCGTCTTGAAGCAGCCACTACAAGAACGCTTGAAAAATACCCACCACACCATAAACCATCATAGTTTTTGTGAAGTAGGGCATCCCTCACAGCATGCACCCTTCATCAATGTGCAGACAACATTGGTAACCGCTACTCACCTCTAAGGCATTATGTGTGCAGTGTTTGTGCTGTGGCTGATAACAATGAACACTGATGTAGCTGAACCCTTTGCTTTGGGTTGGAACCAACCAACGACCCACTCGTTGAGCGATTCGTAAATCATGGCGACTGGCTCTTATTTGACTTTTTGACCACGCCACGTCACATAAGTAAATGCAATCTTTTTCTCCTACATCGCGCTGCAGTGTATAAGACCCCTTACAGGAAAAACTGTTACGAGATCAAACAAGTGTCACGTGCACCGTAGGTGTCCACCACTGCCACCACCGATGTCCGTGACCACTATCAAGCAAAATAGAAAAAAACAGAGTAAAGAAAAAACGCCAAAGACACAATAGGATTCTAACCCGAGTCCCCTGCGTGCCAGCAGAATAGTCTACCACAGAGCCATGCCATTGCTTTTAACTCCGTTGCGAACTAACCTTATGCAGTCGTGATGTCGGGGAAAGGATCGCGTCAATTTGAGTAACAAAAAATTTTAGAATAGCGAAGGAAAAAACCAGCGCAAAGGTAAACCAACTCTCCCAACAAGTCACTCTGCTGAAAAAACCAGGCGTCGCTGAATGCGCATTGCGTAAAGAGTGGGTTGTCAAATGCTCCAACCCCCCCCCCCCTATCAATTACAAAAACTTCAGGCATAATTCTTCTTCCTCGTCAGTATATCAACGAAAAATTGCACTAAACTCCATGCAATTGTGTAGCGGGTACCAAGTTTCTCCAAGAATGACGATGTAAGGTATCGTGAATAGATTAGTTTCTTCTAATCATAATATAGTTCATTAGACTTACGAATATAATGGGATTCCTTCTATCTAATAATTTGTTTTTTTGAAAATCCCCCAGAGTGGGTGTAAGCCAGAAATATAGGCCATCTTTATCTTCACCATGAACGCCTTGCTACACAAAATTAAGATTATCAGCGTAGTGGGTTACCTGCTAGTTTACTTGTAGCAGTTACCCATAAAAGTGCTTAAAAAAAAGCTCTCAAAGGCCGCTTTTGAACTTATGCTGTGACTGTGCTGTGCGTTCCACGCAGACCTGGCGGTATTTTTGTGGAGGAGTTTGAAATACCGGCGTGAACTTGTAGTAGATAGTTCGAAAATCACGCAAAAAAGCCATGTTGGAATCCAATGCAATCCCGGATACAATTTTTCTCATTTCATTTTTCTTGTTACGAGCGTAGCAAGCAAAATTAATGTCACGGTATCACCGAATAGCCTCCAGAGCACCTTCCTCAACATCATCCACTCCGTGGAGATGCTGGAAGTTTTTATGGCTCTCTCTATTGAATTTTAGAGCAAGCATTGCCAACAGGCGTCATCATGTATCCTTCTGCATATCTAGCAGCCATCTTCAGCGTAGTAACACTTTGTCAGAAAGAGGAATAAAGGGGGAAAGCCAACTTTATTATCATTGCTGGAACTATTGATAAATATATATATAGAAAACTTCAGGCATCACGTGTACTAGAAATCTTTATAAATAGCGTAATGGAGAGAAAAATTTTGAGGTCAATCTTTTTATAGCATCTACATACTATCATATTTTGCTGTTACAGATGACAGTTCATTTCTTCACATGTTAGTACATGAAATGCCAAAATATCACGAGATTCTGTCTGTGAGGGCCCCATTCCAGCAGTTCCGTTAAATACCATACCACGATAAACTTTCCTCTAATGCTTGTGCCTGGCATAGGGTCACACGAAATCTGCGTCCCGACAGGTGAAGTCATTGGTAGTCGGTTTTTACCCCTAGAGCTTATTTCGGACTCCTCTGTGGATCTCAGCAGCCGAAATGTCTTTCCAGGCCATGCCATCCGTCTCTTATTCCTCATCGTTGTACCACTCTGCAATATAATCTAAACATCTCCTCTTTGAGAGCTTCTGCTCGCCGATTTCAGTAGCACATGTTATGTATGGTTTCTGCCGTGTGCTTTTTTATGTTGTAATGCTGTATGGGTTCCCAATATTGTTGTACACTTACTCGGAGGCGATTAATTGCTCTTGAAGGCTTTTTGCCAAGCCTCTTGGGTATTTAGTTATGCTGCGCTGTGGTTAGGGCACAGCCAATGCATGTGTTCAAAATTGCAATAGGGATGGTTGTAGCAACTACAGGCGGTGCAAAGAGTCCGGGACATCACTACAAACCTTCGGCTGCCAGAGCCATCCTGGACTGGGCCTCCAGTCTGAATGAAGCGTCAGAATGGCACCTTCTCAGCCTCCTCAGGATATGTTTAATAAAGTCAATCTCACTCACTCAGGAGGCGATTGAACTAAGCGTGTGGGCAGGCCGAAAAAATGGTGGATGAAGAGAATTCTATCTATTGTCGGGTTCCAGTTTCGTAATTAAGGCACAAATAAACTTGTTTAGGCTTACAAATTGGTTTCATAAAGTTCGAGGCAAGCTGACCTAACCCGACATGAAATCGTAATTCCATTTTACTTAGAGCCAGACATTTCAAGTGAATATGCTTTGCCCCACATCTTGTTCAGTGTACCCATATATGCTATTCACGCACATTTCGAAAGTGTTGCGGCAGCATACTGTACCTTTCGCATCATAGAGTGCAAGAAAGGAAAAAGCTGCGGTTATAGCCATTTGGGCACACAAAGCGACGCATGATGAGTCACATGGCCATTGGGAGCTTTGACAGAGCCACGAACAAGGAATGTGACTTCGCACAGATTTTATCGCCGAAGATCTGCATGGACGTTCTGTTTTATTGATAGGCTGGATTTTAATAACGTTCTTGAAAACTTTCCGGCGCGCACAAAAAGAATGTACTCTAACGAGCTCACCAAACTTTCTGTACCATTAAATTATATTTAAGAACGTATTTCCGCTTTGGAGCTCTTGAATTGCTCTTCCGATGGTAAGTTACATACAAGGCTATATTATATTTGTTTGCTATTGCGAATACAAAATCACATTCTGGACACGAAATAAGAGTGAATGCAATTAGCAAAGCACCAAATAATGCGAAGTCAACGATAGCAAATCAGTCATGTAGCCCCATATAGAGGGAGCAAGCGAAGTTCAGTACCTTTATTCTCTTAGACTTTTTCGAAATTGCTTGCCCGTGGTAAAAAATTGGCCCGAATCTGCACGTCACACTGCAAATGTCGTCGAATGATGATAGTCTTGCGTCTGGAGAGAGTGAACACAGCGTTTATTTGATGTTCTGCGCAAGAAAATCGGTCAGTGGTATCCTGGAGGTGCTGCGTTAAAGTGCCTCGAGCGTGCAGTGGAGGCGAACGAGCGCATCGAGGCACGGTAGACACAAGCGCCATCCTGCAGTTATCTTCGAAAACGAAGGCATGCGCACCCAATGAGAAAGATGCGCGCCAGTCTCGAAGGTGATAAGGTGTAGAGCGCAAAGAGACGGACAGGTGCCACCACCATGTCGTCGTAACAAAGCGTCAGAAACACATTTTTGAGCATCGCGTTCCACTGTCAGTGCACCGCGATAAACGCTACAATCCTTAGAGTTACTTGCGTGTGCCTCTTCTAGTACAAAGGCAGACGTACAAAACATAGACGTGTTGTTATGACGCCTCAGATATGCGCAATATTCGCTTTTTAATTTGACAATCGCGCAACTATGAACGCTAAACCTCGTGCAATATTGGTGGGCGCTGCGGATGGGGTTAGCCATTTGGTGCCGCGTGAGGTACCTGTAAGGGCGGACACACAGAGAAATGTACAGACAGACAGACCATATTTTTTTGTCAAAGGTCCCCAAGAAAGTATCGTCTTTAAAATGCGTTTTTAGAGATACGATGAGTGGAGCAAGTATGTGTACGTGAAACACTTTTAAAGACTGAGTAGAACACAGGCCCGACCTGAGCCCACAACCTTAAACCTAGACCCAACCCTAAGTCGTGTCCTACAGGCGTGAGCAAGGCCAGCCGTCAAAACTATTTAACGTCCGGACCCGTGTTTTCTGTGATGGCCAAGTGGGTGCACGCTTTACTTCATAAATACTCATATTCTGCTAGCGTGGGCATGTGAAGAACTGTGGTGAAGACACCTCCAGAATATAGAAGCGTGCGTTTAAAACCGAGCAGAAATAAAAGTTGTTTTGTTTTTTAACTTTTGTTTTTTATAGCAACGGGGAGGGGGATTGCCTTACGCCATGGCAGAATGGGTGGACCGTTCTCTGGTTGAGAACAATTTTTATTCATTTTAAACAAACACGGTGATGGCGAAGCCTGGAACGCGTGATCAAGCGTCATTGCCTTTCAGCTTTGCAATTACTTATTTCTCTGAAATTTATTCATTTAAAAGACACAGATCTTTTCAGCTTTAGAATGTTATGCTTATTTAAGAAACATGTATATATACTTATTCAGTAAAACGATGTCAATCATTAAAAATATGACACAACTTGAAGTTAACTGACAACAAATGCATCTATTGACGACAATCTTGTTTAAGGAACAAATGGCGGACTTTCACTGGAGAGCGTTGACTCTTCATCTTCTGAAGGTTCACAGGCGTAGCACCTCTGAAAACACGAGTGTAGTAATCAGATGTAAATATCTCGGTTCCCTCAGAATACAGATCAAAAAAATTAAGCAAGCGCATTGTTTAACCACTAATTCACTTTAAAGCTCCAGCCAGGTTTCTTTTAGGAAACAAATGCCTCAACTCCACACTTAGTGACACGTTGGAAGCTCCGCGTCTTCAAAAACTGTCTCAACTGTTTAGCTCACACACGCGTCTGTGACGTCACACCCTGCAACAGCTTGAAGATGTATTACTTCAATCTTTAAGACGTGAAAATATGAAGCAAACAGCTGAGGCGATGCAGAGCTGTGCCATGAACGCCAGAACGACAAACCGGTTCGTCGGTTGGTTGGTCCGTCCAAATTAAGCGACAGAAAAAAAAAGAGCTGCACAAGGTTACGGTTAGTACTCATATTTAATTCATATATGAATTCTGGAAGCAGTCCTTTCCCTATTGCATAAATAAAAATTTCGATATTTTGAAGACTGTACGCGTCAAGGCAGAAATTGAGTATTTAGGGAGCATTTTTGCCACACAACAACACTCATCTACTCTTGGTTCATTTCCACAGTCCTGGCACTTCCTGGTACAACTGGCGTCTGTGTTATCGGCTTGCCACATCATTCTTATAGGAAAGTGACGAGAGCAGGGTTTTTGACAAGGGAAATACGAGCAAGACCGATGACGATGATACTATTGTAGCATAAGCACTCCCCAAATACTCTATTTTTTCCTAGTCTTTACCCTCTGTCTAACTACTGAATATTGTACAAACGAATATTGATACAATTGACATACCTCTATCTCGCTCCAGCACGAAAAGCAGTATATGCACTGGCACACCTCGGTGGGGCACACGTACGAGTCCGAGTCCTCTGGGTCACCGCACACCAGGCAGCAGCGCTGGTAGGCGATTCCCAGGAACTGAAGCAGGCGGTAGGTGCGTGGCGCCACCTTGCGCACAAACTCGAACCAACCGACGTTAAGCTGAAACCACGTTTGCTGAGGTCACGCATTAATTTATACATGATATTACCGGAAAGCCCTCACATTTCAATCTAGTCTCTATCGAAGCGTGAAACGTGTACGATGGACCTTACAGGCACTGCACAACAGCAAATGACGGTTTTTGAACGTTCTTGGCCCCAAAAAGAAGTGGTCATAAGTATAAATAATGCACGTGGTCACGACTATAAAACTTATAAAAACAAAAAAGAGACTACAAGACCACAACAATGCAGCATCAAATTCTAGCATTGTCTTCTTCAACGGGCCAGAGGTGTTTTGAGTGAATGCAGAAAAAAACAAATCTGTTTTTATTTCAAAGCGTCAGACATGTTATAAGGTACAAATTTCAGTGACAGCATTGTTGTTTGCGAAAAGCCAACGGCACTCATGCACAGGGATGAAGCCGTCAAAGGTGGGACGGTCACATGAGTATTCGTGAGTGCACCCGTTTTGCAATTACTGATGCGCTCTCCATAAATGGCCACACGTACCTGACAGGCCAGTATGATCCTTTACCAAAGTCACTTCTTTCATTTTAACACGAAAGCATTTTTTACCGGAATGCACGATGGCTCCGCTGACGTATGCTTTCTTCACGTACATGGCGTAAAATAAATCCTAACAGATTGCGACGAAAAAAAGCAGAGCATATCAAGGGAGTAAATGATTACAAGTGTGGCGAAGCGTACATTTCTAAGTCCGTCCGTCCGGACGCATGGACGCACGGATGGGCTGGCGAACGGACAGAAGCACATGAACGGACGGACAGAACGACACAAGGAGGGACTCACGAACGTCCAGACGAACAGACAGACAGACGGACGGATGGACAGACAGACGCATGGATGGTAGAACGAACGGATGGACACACGGATGGATGCTTCGTCCACTTATCATTGACTCAGTGGATACCCTGTTAAAACTGCTAGCGCCATCTAGTTATATTATTTCCAAGGACATATACACACAACTTTATCTATTGAGCAACTCGTAAACTAGGCGTGGCTACATTCTTCTTCTTCTTCTTCTTCTTCTTCTTCTTCTTCTTCTTCTTCTTCTTCTTCTTCTTCTTCTTCTTCTTCTTCTTCTTCTCTTCTTCTTCTTCTTCTTCTTCTTCTTCTTCTTCTTCTTCTTCTTCTTCTTCTTCTTCTTCTTCTACCACTACTACTACCACTACTACTACCACTACTACTACCACTACCACTACCACTACCACTGCCACTGCCACTACCACTGCCACTGCCACTGCCACTACCACTGCCACTACCACTGCCACTACCACCACAACTACCACCACAACTACCACTACTACAGCAGAGGAGAGAACGACCCATGGCCTATGGATGTTCGGCCCTAAAAACGAGAAGAAACAGCTCCATGGCGGGGCGTTTATCTGTGACCTCTCCCTCCTCAGCGTGCCACGCAAACCACTAAACGACAGAATGCGGGTTCTTAGTCTTGTTAACGGCAAGCTATTGGCGGTCACCAGAGCTTCGCAACTTCTGCGCCTTTTTTTTCGTTTGTTGGTTTGCCAGATTTCTCTGTTAGGCGGATATTTTCCCGTGACCTCACAATCCCACGTGAGGTCACGAGCTATTAGCTCATTAGACCATCAGACTTCCTAACTATTAGACGCGGCTTCGCGCTGCTACATCATCCAATCAGTCCGATTACCCTTCCACCAAGGCTAGAAAGGAAGACGGAAAGAACAATGACCGAGATCAAGACGCAAAGCGATGCAGTAGTTTAGAAACACACACGCGAAGCTTTGCTTGCTCCCATTTTGCAGTTTTGGAGGGCTTCTAAATTTTTAATGCTCTGATTTATTTGTTTTTTTGGTATTGTTCGGATAACTGTCATGCATTACACGTAAAGATTTGCACATATACAATTTGCTGTACCTAATTACTATTACACCACGTTTAGATTTGAAGGAAAAGAGTGGAAATTTCAGGTCTGGTTTTCCTTTTGAGGTACAATAAGATTGAGAATTCATCGGCAATGACGTTTAACTTTTTCAAGTGGTAAAATACAAAATATTTCGAAAATTCTGACGAAATGAAGAGAATGCTTCAAAAACATGTAGATGTTGTGCCGTAGCAATTATATATTTCATCTTCTATGATTAGCAAAACAATTCCACGATTCTACGCATTGTGCAGCTTAATAATTTGCTACTCATGAAAAACCAAGGACTTTTCAACAGGGGACAACGTGCCAATCGTACCATTACTTAATACTAGAGCATGTTAATATTTATGAATAACGGCGTGGTGAAATGGGGACGACAGCGTAACTCATTACAAGAACTCACGTCGAACTCCCGGTCTCGCACAAGCTTCCTGATCCGGTGGCGCACGTACCGCAGGTAACCTGCCCTCTGCTTCAGCATTTTGTTATAGAGGTGCAGAACACGTTTTTTCTCGCGCTGAAATGAGAAGGACATCAACCGCTCAATGAATCATTTATTGAGCCTTAGTAATTACTAGTAATCACTTTGTAACTCAATAAGGTAACAATCAGGTTAGAATAGCTCTCGATCATGCAGACCAGGGTTCTCAAACTGATCTCAACAAGCCGGACGCTGGGGGTGAAATTTAGCATTTCTTGATGGACGTCGCTACTTAAAGGGATAAGGCTCGTTGGATTTATTGGCTTGTTTTGCGAACAGCGGGCTTCTTATCCTTGGCAACCACTACAATGTTAACGTAACGTAGTGCCATGTAGTAGACGACAATTACCGGAAGCGACACCTCGTCGCTTCTATAATCCTCCACAGCTAACTTCCGAAGGATGACAAGCCAAAACACCGGTCCACCAATTTAGGCATCGGCCAGGAAGCCTTAGCTTTTTTTGTTTAACAAACTTCTGGTGCAGACTCATTCTGTTTCAAGTTACAGATTTCGACTGCTGCATTGTATGGTGTCGCGACATTTGGTGATGTGGTGCGTGGGCCGCGCAGTACATCGCATTGATTGATAAGTGTTGTTTAACGCCCCAAAACCACCATATGATTATTAGAGACGCAGTAGTGGAGGGCTCCGGAAATTTCGACCACCTGGGGTTCTTTAACATACACCCAAATCTGAGCACACGGGCCTGCATTTGTGCCTCCATCGGAAATGCAGCCGCCGCAGCCGGGATTTGAACCCGCGACGTACGGGTCAGCAGCCAACTACCTTAGCCACTAGACCACCGGCGGGGCCAGTACAGCGGCGGGGCCAGTACATCGCAGGTACGACAGTGACGATCCAGGCTGGCAGCTCACCTTGTCGAAAAAGTAGGCGCACACTGCTCTCCGCATCCTCGTTGCGAACAGCTGCGCGAACACGAGTCCAACAAGGGAAGCGTAGACAAGGTAGACCTTGAGGATCAGCCAGCGAGATGTCCTCACGGGGGTTCGGCAAGCAGTGCGCGTTGCTGGCAATGCGCTCAAGCTTCTCTTCGATGTCGAAGTCTTTGAAAATTTTGCGCACCAGGTTACTCACAGCACCCGTTCCGAACACTTGCAGGGCGATTCGATGGTAGCCTGTGCAATAGAAAACCTATTGTCACGTGACCAAGACGTCGGCAACGGCTGCCGTCAACGTGTCCAAGACGAACCTATTTCCGCAGAACATGTGGCCGGGAAACAGACTCAAGCTACAGCAAGTAATGTACGCTATACGTATGTACAGTACTCACGGACTGAAATAGGACACTAGTAGGACGTGGCCGCCGGTGCATGTGCCGCCGCTTGGGGCTGATCGCGGAACCAGGGTGTTGCATTGTAGTATATAGAGTGAGGGCGAGAACCGATATGGAGCAGGCTTACTCTTTCCGGTCGCTAAACAGTTGGCATTTAGTTCACAAAGTGCGCACTGCCAGCGTGACGCTGCAAGGCTCACGCGCTTTTGAATGCATGCAGCCCGAATTGAGTGGACGGTGCGAACCATTTTTATTGTGGCGCAAGCACACGATGCTCTCGATCGGCGCCCTTCGACGATAAGGCACGTAGGCTGCGCAAGTAAGAAATTGGAGACCACTAAGATGTCGCACCTGAAATGTACTCGTACTGAAATGTACTCAATAAATAGCTGCACAAGAGCAGATGTCTGTAAAGGTTTTTGTCACGGTGGAAAAAAAAAGCAGCACCCACGGGCCTGTTTCCGTGCAACATCGAAACAATGACTCGGTATTTTGTTGTTTCGCCCCGAGCAGCGAATATTGCCGGCTATACTGCGTGGCGAACACTTGCAGAGCTGTCGGCCACAGAAGAACGAGCGAGCTTCTTGCATTCTTATTCAAATATAGCCCATAGTTTGCCGTAACAACATAATTACACGATATTATTTCCCTGTTGCATTAAGGCAAGCATGCCACTCATTTTAGTTCTTGTCGAGACAGAAACCACGAAGTGAGCTTTTTATGCTTTTGTGCACGTGTTTATCATGTCTACGTACGCACGCTAGGTGCAATCTCCTAACTAAATTCAGTGTGTTACTTGATCAGCATGCGTACCACATCGCCTAAGCACGCAAAACGGGAGGATTGTAAGCTGGCACGGCAATAAAGCTGGTGCGCAGCGGCGAGCCAGTTCGGTCGACATACGAATGTGCGTCAGCCTTGCAGCGCTTCACTGGCAGTGTAGACATGGTGATCTACCACTTATAGACCTTTACCTCTATTTTCAGGGTATGCCCACATGTTTCGACGGGATTTGAATGGCGTAGGCTTCCCTCCCCAGGCGGCTCACCCCTGAGAAAGCCGAGTGTCAGGCCGGGGGACGCCTGTGCCCGTTTTGTGAAACCGGTGGGTACCCGGCGGCTCGTGGGTTCGAACCCATGACCTCCCGCAGCCGAAGCGGACACTCTACCAAGAGGCCACGGCTGCGGTTACCGCAGCCGTGGCCTCGTGGAACTACCAGCCGACAATTTGGCGACCGGAAGGGGGCAATCTGTGTCCGTAAGTGTTATTCCCCTCGCTCTATGCCATAATGCAACACATTGGTTCCACGCGCACCCACGAGTGGCGGAGCATGTTCCGTCGGCCACCCACTCCGAGTGTCCCGTTTCAATCCGTGAGTACTGTCAATGACACCTAGACTATCAGGCATGCTCACTGCCACCATGACGTCACTCGCTTTGCCCGAGTGAACGCTCGTATGGAAGGCGTGAATCCATTTGCCACCATCGTCTTCCAGTAGAATAATGAACGTTGACGGCACGTTTTACACGCTTAACAGCTTTATTCTGAACTTTGGGTAAAAAAGGCGCTGTTTTAAGTATTGTATTGCGCTTCAAAGTATTTACAGATTCACGTGTCAGTGATTTCTTCTTCCACTAAAAAGTCAAAGATTGTACGCTATCGAACGTGTGGTCGATCTACAAGAGCAAAATTTGATGGACCAACAAAGTGACGAAATAAATACTGTGAACTTTATTCATTTATTATTTATTTACACACATGCACACGCCGGCACACTATGTAGAGCATGCCGAGAAATCGTTTTTACCCATTTGGAAAGTTTCTGCAATTTTAATTGTACTCTTTCGAACATCTGTCTTCATTGACACATATATGTAGTTATTGAGGAGAGTTCGTGCTGGTGCCTCAAGTATGTTATTCAGCAGATTATCAGGGTCAAGACTATCGCAAGAGAAAACAACATATTTCGTTTCACAAAAAAAAAATCTTGTGACCGACACAAGAGGTGGCGTTCCCTCCTTTGTTCTGGGCACTCTCGCAGTGGTGCGTAGTCGGTCGTATAACTTAGGTCCTGAGAAAAATGGTAGTACTGCGTCTTCGTTAAACCATGTAGCCCCCGTGGGCGCTTCTACTTCACTGTCGGCTCTTGGATCGGTATGTTCCGGTAGTAGTTCTTAAATATTCTAGCTTGAAGTACAATCACACATGAAAGCAAATTAAGAAAGCGCTGTACCATAAGTGTCTACAAACATCTAAATTTAAAAAAAAAACACTTAGACAATGGTTCTGACCGCTATAAAGTTGTACAAATACCGGCAAAAAGTATTCACACAAAACCAATGCATAATTCATTCGATCATTCTATATTTATCAACCAAATGAACAGAAGTAATACAAGTCCTTAGCGCTCATCGCCAATAGCCAATTGTTTACCGACCCTGAAGGAACAACGCCTGTTCTGAAATTGTACTGCCGCGCACGTTTCTCATTTTAGTACCAGGGCTTACGCCAAAAATTCAGAAGCACACATGACACCTTTATCTTAGAGCAAGAACGGAACATGGTGGATATGGGGCCGTTGGAACCAATTAGAATTATGTAGTATGGACACACGTACCTTCAGGTCACGAAGAAAGCGAATGTCGACGTCAGCTTGACGAACGACACACTCCCATTTTCTTCTTCAGTTGTCCTAGGAAACGAGAACACTCGACACTACGGTCCATTTCCCGCAACGATTTGCCACGCAGCATCGTCCAACCATTCGGATTTGCATCCGTACAGATTGCGAATATGCAGTGCACAAAACACATTCACAATGCAGTTCACTGACACAGAAAAAAAATTGCCCGCAGCTTCCCTCGGGGGAACACTGAGGAGGATGCGGAGTATATAATTGGTTAACGGGGTGTTAAAGTGCGACTTACTTGGGTCGATGGCTAAATTGGTTAACGTGGTTGTGAAATGGGGTGTTAAATTGCGACTTACTTGGGTCGATGGCTAAATTGGTTAACGTGGTTGTAGGAGGGGGTGTTAAATGAGTTAACACGTACACACGTATGTGAAAGGACGGCGCTGGTCGAAGGGACGTCGATCATTGTGTTTGTGGATTCGTTGGAATTCATTTCACCCGCGACCTTGGACGTCGACGCGCCGTACAAAACCAACCGACGAGCGGCAACTGAGCGAGCGAGCGCCGACCTTGAGTATATATACAGCGCGACGGCGCATGCACTGTCAGCTGTTGAATGTTCTCGAAGGAGAAGCGCGCGTGCGGCACAGATGGCGACGGCGCATGCGCTGTCAGCTGTCGAATGTTCTCGAAGGAGAAGCGCGCGCGGCACAGATGGTGGGCGACGGCGCGACGGCGCATGCGCGCGCGTCAGCTGTCGAATGTTCGAGAAGCGGTGCGGACGGCGCACTACAAGGCGCGAGTATAAGATGCTTCCGGATCTAAAAGACAATTTTCTCGAGTCGCCAACAAGTACACTACACCAGCATGGCAAGAAAACGTTCGTCGGGCTTTGCAATCCATGGCTGCCGAGCGACGAGAGCAAGCGTATATGCCCATCTGTGCAGCGGAACAAGCCGATCACAACGGAGTGACGTCAGAGGACGAGGCAGACACAGTGAACAGGTCTTAAGATGGCATCGGTACTGTACACTGATATCGGCGAACGAAGCGTCGTTCGTCAAAAAAGCTGGTCATCATTTCAATGGGCTGTCTTATACACAACACGCTTCAAATTTGACAGCCTTATCACGGGTCACGGCGCAAGCTCTGGAATAAGCTCAAGCGTTCGCGTCTGGCAAGCTATCTTAACAAAACAATCCACTACAATCGTCAAGCTTCTGAAACACTGAAGACATGGTTTGCGCTGTGCATTGCTGACAGCCTATGTAGGCGTCCGCCGAATACAGATGAAGCGACATGCAGAGAGCACGTGGAAATTTCCGGTCTTACCGAGCCGCGTGAATGAACATTACTCTTCTTTATATACCTTTATCGCAATAGGCGACCAGTAAAAGAGCGAGTGATTATGGGCTGCACCGTCTGCTACCGGCTTACGGTTCGACAAGAGTATACACGATGGCAAACCACTTCGCCGCAAGCCTCAGATTATTCAGCATTCGCGTGCGCGGTCACCCGTTTATCTTTGTCTTGACAAACCATCGTGGGTTGTTCAGCCGTTGGCTGCTTCAACTCGAGCGTGAAAAGCAAACGCAGGTATCACTTCCCATGGAATAAAGAAAAAAATGAGGTGGGCCGTGGCTGTGTGGCGAGCCAACGTGACAGGTAGCCTTCTAGAACAGAATGCTGAAGCCAGAGTGTACGAAAACCATTTTATCACAGGTACATGTGTATTTCACACTAAAAAAAGCTCACGCATGAATTTGCTGTGAATATTGAGAAATAAATTGCCGCGCAGGTGCGCTTAGCAAAGAAGGATAACATGGAAATGCGGGGGCGAAATCTACCTGCCATACGAGATGAGCGCCGGCAATTGCCCCCATATAAATCACAAAAAAGCGCGAAAGCTTCACTCAAGAGTAAGTTTACAGGCAGCGCTGGACGAGTCCATTTGCGTTTATCTTCGTCAAACTGTGTGCCAGGACGGCACCCAAAGAAAGAAGTGCGTTAAACAAGCGGAAAATTTTCATTGTTTGGCGCCGTCTGTGTCCAACTGTATTGTTTATGTGCCGCTGTGCCACGCAGCATGATAAAGATCAGCGTTTAAATAAGCATCTGGTTTCGACTAAGAAATGCATCTTATAGTGCGCTGAAGGCTAGAAACAAAAAAGGTATCTCCACGCGCTCAATAAGTGCTGCGCTTTATGCCGATCGACCGACGAGGTCGGCCGAAGTAGCGTTACCGAAATGAACTCTTAGCACACTGTTGCAGTTATCACCATCCCCTGAGATCTTTGAAATGGCGATTTTTTTTTCTGCAGTAACATATATTACAATGAAAATTGTTTTCTGTATCGACTGATCTGCTAGCCAAGCTGACAGGTACCCCCGAGCAGCATAAAAGCATAGCAGATCATTTTAGTGCAATAAAACGTTTCTTTACCATTAACGGCTTTCATAGCTTGTCATCGTCACAGTCACGGTTAGCAGAAACAAAAAACCAACTTCTAAAGCACTGACAATGCACTAAAAGGGGCTTTTTTTTCAACGGAGCAGTACAAAAATGCACGCTTACCGCTGCTAACCCGTTGGGCCCGTTGAAACGGAAGCCGTCGTATCCCACACTTCCCTGCGATTTCCCATATTGCCGGTCACCAATTGGTGGCGTAGATGGCGTGGTGGTCTTTCTGTGCAGACAGATTCGTACTATACTGCGAAATACAATACCCCCAACTAACCCGACTACTCTGCCTCCGCAACGGCACAACGACCCCGACCGTGCAACATACACCCCAGAGAAGTCAGTTACAGTGCATAAAATCTCCCATGGGCTTGAAGTCCCGACTCAGATGAGGGCTCTTCAGAACAATTTTAAGGTACCTTGTGGCCCGTTAATCTGCTTTGAAAGTAGGTTATTTTACAATGCCTTCAAAATTGTAAACATGCGGTTAATTCCGCCATTTCTTGGCAAAGTGGGCCTTTTGCAAGACTGTAAAAAAATGAGTAAATATTTCGAACCGAGCTTTTTTACTCCAAAACAGCTACCTGTGTGGTAACTCTCGTGCTGAAAATAGTCGTGCGCACGTGATTTATGCGTGATTTTCATCAGATTTTGTATTCACTCCCTGTTTCTGGAAAGAGGTAACACAGCACCTTGGTATTCGTACACGTGTGTTTTATCAATAAAACGGTCTCCGCTGTCGCGTGTTAATTGAGGAATTGTTGCGTGAAAGTAAGGCGGGAACTGCCTGCACTTTTGCATGTTAATTACCGTATTGTTGTGCAAAAGCGAGACGTTAATGACCCTGGAACGCGGCGAGCGAATTTCGGTTCACAATTAGGACCACGGGTGTACACGCGAGCAACAATTTACCTTCCTGAATGAACTCCACGTCGGCGTTGCGTCGTATTATGTCCAGGACATCGTATATGAGGTAGTCCAGGCCCAGCATGATGCTGCCGAAGACCACGTGCACCAGCTCAGAGGCGACCGCACGCATCTGTAGAATCGTCATGCCAGAAATAGTATTCAACCATTGCAGTGACTATGGGCGGCTGAACGGTAGGTCAAAATGGTGGATGGCGATTTCGCGTCTCGACTGGCAAAAGACGCCAGGCCCTCTAGTTTCGCCTCTCGTTGCGCGCGCCCATTCAGTGGGAATAGTCACCCTGGTGGCTTGATGGTATCGTCTGAATGCGGTGGAGCTCGCCTGTTTTAGCGCTTGTTTGTGAGGAAAAAGAGGCTCTATTACGAGTTATACGCTTAATCAAATGGTGGTTTTGGGACGTTACACCCCACAAATCAATCAAATCAACGAGTTATACGCTTCCCGACAATGCGCGTCGCAGAGGAATACGTGGTAATGGGCCCGCCGCAATGCGTCAGCGTCTCAGTGCGTGGAAGCACGCCAATAACTACCGTGGGACCGAACGGTGAAATGCGTTGCAGATTGTTATCCCCATGTGCCAGCTTCGGAGGCGGGCCGCGTGGCGCCGCCTACGTCGCTGAAATGACCGAATACACACTGTTGGTCCCTGCCGACTTTGTAACCACAAACCCGTGCGTGTGGTGGTTACAGTGCTCGACGGCTGACCCCACGGTGGCGGGATCAAGCTGCCGCTGCATTGCCGTGGAGCCTATACATGCTAGACGACCATGTGCTTACATTTAGGTACAGCCGCCATTTTAAAGACGATGGTCTTTCTTGGGCACCTACGACGCAAAAAAAATTGTCTGTCTGTCTGTTCAATTGTATGTGTTTAGAAAAAAATGGTTAACGATTTCGAGTACTTAATACTCAACTATGGGAGAGCCCTGCAGATACGGGGCCAATTTTTTTTCTGTGTCCCCTCACTTCGAGTCGCTGCCTATGCTATTCAGGTACTTCGTCCACCAAATGTATGCCCACTCTTAGTGATACTGGGCACTTCAAACGGCACAAGCGAATAGCACAAACGGCCGACCCCATCCGCAGCGCCCACCAATGTTGCTCAAGCTTCAGCGCTCATATTTGTGCGATTGTCAATTAAAAAGCAATTATCGCGCATATCTGAGGCACCATGACAACACGTATATATTTTGTATGTGCGCCTTTTACCAGAAAAGGCATACATAGGTTATTCTACGGACCGTAGCGTTTGTCACACGGCACTGACCATGCAACGCTTGCATGAAAAGGGAAGTGTTTCCAACGCTTTGCTAAGACGACACGGTGGTGCCACCTACCCGTCACCTTGCGTTCTACACCTTATCACAACTGAGATGGGCGCGCACGCCTGTCTCAGGGCCACACGTTTCGTTTTCCAAGATAACTGCCAGATAGCGCTCATTTCTCAGGTGTGACGTAACTTAGTGCGCTCGTTCGCCTCCGCTGCGTCCTCGAGGAACTCTAACACAGCGCCTCCAGAATACCATTCACCAATTTTCTTGCGCAGAACATAAAATAAACGCTTTGTTCACTCTCTCCAGACTAGAGACTATCGTCTTTCGACGACATTTGCAGATTAACATGCAGATAAGTGGCCAACTTTTTTTTCTAGCGTGTGACAAACGGCCTCGTGCCGTGCATGTAGCGTGACTAGAGCGTGACACAGTGATGAAACCGAAAGGTAAAAAAAAAGAGTGATGCCACTCCTTCAATTGCCTGGGGCCCATTCTAGCAGTTCTTTCTCTTGTTTTTTTCTATTTATGTTAATGTGGCAGTTTACGCCGTGATGGCAACAATTCGTATCCAAAGCAATCATTGTTGCAAAATATAAACTTGAAGATTAAAGCGTAAAATAAGCAGGCATTCGTGACGCAGTGTACCAAAAGGAACGAACGACACCATTCTCTTTTTTTTGCAAGTTTCAGCACTCCGCCACTCCCCATGTGCGACACCAGTGTCTACCTGCCCCGAGCCCCTGTCCTTTCATAAGAATAGGGGTTGTACATGCATGTTTTAAAAAATTCTAAGCGTTCGATATTCCTGGAGACCTTTCCCACTATGGTATCTCTTATATTCATACTGTTGTTTTCCGACGTAAAACTACCGGAATTATCATTATCATAAAGCCACAGTTTTCACCTATGTGCACGATTGAGAAATAAATAAATAGGAAAATGCTGCAGTCAATCACTTCATGACTGCCTTCCTTAGCGGCATAATTAGTAACGCCGGAGCCCCCAAGCCAGCAGTAACGTATTTCCGTCACCGAAATGAAAAGATATAATTACCATTTCAAAAATATATTTACCAGCACTGTGTGTGTGTTTTTTTACTATGATGTTTCGTCTTAATTTTTTGCGGTGATAAATATAAATTAATCTTGAACCAACTCACCCAAGCAGCAGTTTTATCGAAATAATTCTGTAAAGAACATACTGAAAAATAATTCAGGTGGGTTGATCGATATGTGCGGTTTACCGTTCCAAAACCACTATATGATTATGAGAGACGCCGTAGTAGAGGCCTCCGGAAATTTCGACCACCTGGAGTTCATAAACGCGCACCCAAATCTGAGCACACAGGCCTACAACATTTCCGCCTCCATCGGAAACGCAGCCGCCGCAGCAGGGATTCGATCCCGGCTTGAAGTAGGAACCAACAGAAAAATTCTCCACCCGCGTCTTTCCACTGCAGGAACTTGAGCAAATGCGTCGCAGAAAGGGGGGGGGGGGGGGTATCTTGTGAATGTTGGGTAGTTTTTGGCGACGTGTACATTACTCATCATTGCTTCGAGCGGCGCCAATGTACTATCTCGCAGCAGCACTGTTTTCGTTCAGTCAAGGCCGTTTCACATGACACAAAAAGTAGTAATTTTCAGTATGAAAATATGCTCGCAGCGAGAAAAACACATGGCAGCATATCCACGGGGTGAATGACGGAGAGTAGGGCGAAGCATTCGTCCGTCCATTCGTTCTTGCTTCCGTTCGTCCATGCGTCTGTCTGTGTGAGCGTCCGTGCGTCCATCCGCCCGTCTGTGCGTGCGTCCGCACTTCCATTCATGCGTACATCCCTGCGCCCGTCCATGCGTCTAACCGTCCATGCAGCTATCCGTGAGTCCGTCCATGCATCTGTCTGTGTGCCCGTTTGTCCATCTAGTCAACACTCCAAGTACCACCATCTCGCATCTTTTCATCATATATTCCCCATATATAAGCACCGCCATCCAGCGGACATTCCAAGGACTAAACTGGAGGTGGCACACGCACACTTTCTTACGGCTTGCACTTCATATCTACTTCCCACCTTTAACGACCTCGAGTTCATGGTATATACTAGTTCACTGTATTCATGACACTGCGGCCCAACGCTCGCTAAAACTTTCTAAAACCAAGGAGGTTATACCCACCCAGCAAGTATAACGTAGAAACCCTTTCTTGTCGGATAGTGCTCAATGTACATGACAATGGCTGCTGAGGGGAATGAGAGACAGGAGAATTCGGCTTTTAGTTAACACGCACGCCATGAATTTTTTTATTGTTAAACAACGCACAGAAGAAATCTGCCACCGGCACCACTTTGCAGGTCAAATCGTAAGACATGTTACGTACTACTACGAGGGACAAGCGGGTGCCACTTTAAGAAGCTTCACCCCTAATAAAAGGGCCAGTTCGCCCCCGTTGCACTGGTCCGCGGCGACCATCCAACATGTCGGAACTTTTCGCTATAATCGCAGCGGCGGAAGCGATTTCTGTTCGGGACCCATTGAAATAGGTCGGGGCCGGCCAAGCTGTCGAAATCGCGTTGACGTGTCTGTTTCGATAATGGCCGCGATTGCGCCATTCAAAGTGTAGCTAGATTGGGAAGTGTTTTTAACGACGAAACACAAGTGCTCTTCGTTACCGTTAATAGAATCATAACGGACAGACTGATACTTTATATATAAAAAATTCTACAGTGTCTGCCACAACGAACGGTGGCAAGAAACCTTGCTCGCCACACCAGTTGCAAAGCGAAAATCACGAGCCGTTCGCGGTCCATGTGAAACGAGACCACCATCAGTGACGGTTGCGAACAGAGCGATTGGAGCCAACGGAACAATTTTTATCGCTGCAATCACAGCACGTGAAACAGCCTCCATGCAGGCGGCGCCCCGACACCGTCTACACTCTTGGCGCGACGTGCTCGAGTTAGATTGAATACATCCAAAGGGCTGCGCCTGTTTACAGCGCCCACGTTTGGCGCGTTCCCTTTCTTTTCGCTGGGAGCTCATACAGCCAACACCCGTCGTTCCGCAGCATGAACACCGGCAGAAGCTTGGGCAGAAGCGTAGTCCGTTTGCAACGCGGCAGCAGCTCAGACTCACTGCGAAGACCTTGCCAGGACAGCCCGGGTGACCACAGAGGGCTTGTCGTCAAGCCCACCCAGAGCTGCGGGTCAGCGAAGCAGAAGCGAAAGTGGTGCGCCATCAAGCAAGCCCGTCCTGTCTTTATACGATGGTAGAGGAACGTGTCACTTGGAGGATGCATGTGTTACCCAAGAATAGTGTTACGCGATCGTCTCTAAGCACGCGTCTCTAACTTCATTTGCTATGTGGATATCAAGGGGGATCGAAAAAAAATGCTTTAGTGGAAATCATTATTTAGGAGTGAAGCCTTGCCTCTGGTACGAAGGCGGCAGCGTCGGTCATCTTAGTAGGCTCATGATAAAGTATCACCGTTCAGCGATTAAGACAGGGAAGTTTATTGCAAACTGGTAACAACTTTTTAGGTGAGCACAACTGTCTGGTGTAACAAAATAACCTCAGTGGCGTGTACACACAAAAGAACATAGACACGATGTAGCACACAACACTTCGATATTCTCACAGAACACGAAACACTCCAGAAAACAAATAGAAAAGGAAACGCAAACATCACTAACTTTATTCTGAACAGATTCACATACTATGTGTGACGAGAAGCAATTTTTTCGCGGCGTGATTCTTTCGCACGCCCGACGAACGTAATGTGGAAACTTTTTCGGTCACATAGTGCTCCAAGTGCGTCTTAGTGTTGCTAGTTTTCCTTAGTGAG